AGGGAGGAAGAGAGAAGAAGGGCAGTAAGAGAAGAGAGGGAGGAGAGGGAGGGGGAGGAGGAGGAGAGAGAGAGGAGAAGAGTAGAAGAGGAGAGGAAGGCGAGAATGGAGGGAGAGGATAGAGAGGGGGAGGAAAAAAGAAAGGAGAGAGCGAGGGGAGAGTAGGAGATAGACGAGAAAGGAGGGGGAGAGAGGAGAGAAGGAGATCAGAGAGAAGAGGGGAAGAAGAGGGAGGATAAGAACAGGAGAGAAAGAGAGAAGAGGAGGGAGAGAAGGGGAGCAGTAGGAAGAGAGAGAGTAGAGAAGGAAGAATAGAGGGAGAGAGGGAAGAAGAAGGAGCGAGAGGAGAGAAGAGGAGGAAGAGAGGACAAGTAGAGGAGGGGAGAAGAGGGAGGGGATGAAGTTAGAAGGGGATAGGAGAGAGAGTAGAGGAGGCCAGAGGAGGAGGGGGGAGAGAGAGAGAGAGAAGAAGAGCAGAGTATAGAGGATGGTGGAGAAGAGAAAGTAGGAAGGAGGGAGTAGAGCGGAAGAGAGAGAGGGTAGGGTAGGAGGTAACGAGAGAAGGGAGGTAGAGAGAAGAGAGGAGGGAACGTAGTAGAGGAGGAGAGGGAGAGAAGAGAGGGAGAGGAGGAGAAGTGGGAGAGAGAGGAGAGGAGATTTGCGGTAGATGGGGGAGAAGAGAGAGTGGAGAGGATAGGGGAGAGAGAAGGAGAGGGGAGGGAGAAGGAAGAGGAGTAATAGGGCGGAGAGAGAGAGGGACGAGAGTGAGGAAAGAGAGCGAGGAGGAGAGAGAGTAGAATGAGAAGAGGGGGGAGGGAGACGGAGAGGGGAGAGAAAGGGAGAGAGGGAAGAGAGAGGGTAGGGTAGGAGAGACGGGAAGGGTACGAAGAGAGGAGGGAGGAAGAGGAGGGGGAGAGGTAGGGTGGAGGGAGTGAGAGTGGGGGCTAGAGGAGGAGAGGAGGAAGAGTAGGGAGGGGAGGGGAGAAAGAGAGGAAGGTAGGGAGAGGAGAAGAGGAGAGGAGGGAGAGAGAGAAGAGAGAGGAGCAGGAGTAGGAACGAGGAGAGGGCGTAGAAAGAGGATGGAGAGGAGAGGAGAGAGGAGAGAGAAGGAGGCAGAGGGAGTAGAAGGTAGGAGGAGGAGGGGGAGAGGAGGTAGAGAGAGAGCAGGCGAGAGGAGGAGGAGAGAGAGAGGAGGAGAGAGAGAGAGGAGAGAGGAGGAGGTAGGAGGGAGGGAGAGGAAGAAGGGAGAGAGGAGAAGGGGAGAGGAAAGAGGGAAGAGAATAGAAGGAGAAGGAGAGGGGGAGAGTAGAGAAGAGGAGAGAGGATAGGAGAGAGGAGGGAGAGAAGAAGAGGGGAGAGAAGAGGAGATAGGAAGAGGGAAGGAGAGAAGAGGAGAGGTAGAGGAAGCGAAAAGAGAGGAGAGAAGAGAGGGGTGGGGAGAGAAAGGGGATAAAGGTATACCGAGGAGAGAAGATTAGGCCAGGGAGAGGAGAGGGAGGAAGACAGGAGCGGGAGGGAGAGTAGGGGAGGGGAGGGGAGAGGGAGAGGAAGAGGTGAGGAGAGATAGGAGGTGAGAGAGGGAAGTGGGAAGAAGGAGTAGAGATAGGGGGATAGGGTGGAGAAGGGTGAGGAGAGGTGGAAGGAATAGAAAGAGAGAGAGTAGGAGAGGAGTAGAGGAGAGGATAGAAGGAAGGGAGGGAGAAGAAGAGAGGGGAGGTAGAAGATGGGAGATAGGAAGAGGAGTAGGAGAAAGAGAGAGCACAGAGGAAGGAAGAGGGAAAAGGTAGGGGAGAGAGAGGTGGCGAGGGAGGAGGGACAAGAAGGAGAAGAGAAGAGAGAGAGGTAGTAGGGATGTAGGAAGTAGGGAGATGGAGGGGAGGAGAGGGGGGGAGGGAAGGAGGAGAGAGAGAAGAGGATAGAGGGGGAGGAGAAGGAGGGGAAGAGTGAGGAGACGAAGAGAGAACAGGGAAGAGAGTCAGTAGAGAGAGGGAGAGGAGGAGAGGAGATAGGAAAGAGAGAGGGGAAGGAAGAGAAAGAAGAGAGAGGTAGAGAGAGAGAGAAGAGAAGGAGAAGGAGTAGAGGTAGAGGGTAGAGAAGGCAGGAGAAGAGGAAGGAGGGGGAGAGTAATTAGGAAGAGAGAGAGTAGTATAGAGGAGGAGAGAGGAGAGAATAGGTAGAGGGAGTAGAGAGAGGGTAAGAGGAGGAAGGGAGGAGAGGAGGATGAGAAGGAAGGGAAGGAGAAGAGGGCGATAGAAGCTAAAGAATAGGGAGAGCGATAGAGGCAGGGGGGAGAGTAAGGGAGGGATAGAGAGGGGGAGGAGAGGAGAGTAGGAGGCGGAAGGAGAGGGAAGCGGAGGAAGGGAGAGGGGGAGAAGGAGAGAGAGTAGAGGGAGGTAGGAAGAAGAGGAGGAGAAGGAAGTGGAGAGTAGGAATAGAGAGAGGAGAGAGTAGGAAGGAGGAAGGATAGGAAGAGAAGTGGGGAAGGAGAAGGCAGGAGGAGGGTAGAGAGAGGAGGAAGAGAGAAGAGAGGAGCGAGAGAAAGGAGGATAGGTAGAGAGGAGAGGCAGAAGAGAAGAGAGAGAGAGGAGAGAAGAGGAGAGAGAGGGGGAAGAGGGGAGAGAAGGGGTGAAGGATAGGGAAGGGAGAAGAAGAGAAAGGGAAGGAGAGAGGGAGGAGGAAGGAGGAAGAAGAGCACTAGGGGCGGAGGAAGAGAGGGAGAGAGAAGGAAAGGAAATAGAGGGAGAGGAAGGGTAGAAGAGGAGAGAGGAGTGAAGAGGTAGGAGAGGAAGAGGAGAGAGGAGAGGGAAGGTATTGGATGGAGAGGAGTAGAGATAGATAGGGACAAGGGATAGAAAGAGGAGAGAGAGAGGAGAAGAGAGAGGTAGAAATAAGAGAGAGGAAGAGAGGTAGAGAAAGAGAGAGGAGAGGAGGGAGGAGAGAAGAAAGGGGAAGGGAAGCGGAAGAGAGAAAGGTAAGGAAGGTGTAAGAAGAGAGAGCAGGGGGAGAGGAGTGGGAGTAGAGGGAGAGAAGGAGGAGAGAAGGAAGGAGTAAGGGAGAGAAGAGAGAGAGGAGGAGAAGACGTAGAGAGAATAGGAGATAGAGAAGAGGATAGGAGAGAGGGGATAGATGGTAGGGAGGAGAGGAGGGAAGGATAGGGGAGAGAGAAGGGAGCGAAGAGAAGGGAGGGGAGAGAGAAGGATAGGAAGAGATAGTAGGAGAAGTAAGGGGGAGAAGAGAGGGAGTACAGTTACTGTAGTGTAGTGGTCACGATCCCCCGTGCGTGCGTGTATCCTCAAATGTCGCGATCGTTAAAGGAACAAGGTCTGACATTTATCTGCTCTCTCTGTGGCCCAGAACACAGACAGACTTGATGGGATAACGCGATTGGACTGTTTGTAATAGTCATCTCATAGTTTATTGCTATTTCCAACAATACTTTGTGGCAGTGCATACACAGACGATCTTTGCACGTGTCGACCACTAGAGGTTACTGCGCCTTAAATAACTGAAGCAGTATAAATTACCGGTGTTCTCGCAGCGTTCGTTAATTCCAGGTCGCGTCCCTTTAATAGCTTTGCGCGTTCCAACGCACAGATTCTGTTGCGACGGCAAAGGGCTACTTCTTGTATTACACAGACATATGATAACCGATTTAATATAGTTTTGTATGTGAATAAATAGAGAAAGCAAGAAATTCTAAGAACTTTATGAATTTCTAAAACATTTCAACTATATGCCATCAAAAAGCAAAAGAGCAAATGGATTCGGTCACAGAAACTCTTACTTTATTCAAACATTTTTGCAACAATCAGTACAAAATGTGTATAAAGTATAAAGATTGGTGGTTCGAACTAATTATGACACTAGTTTATACATACATATATATATATATATATATATATTTGAAAAGTTCCATTAAGTTGCCAAAAATGAGTTCCTTGTTCCGTTATTATCGATTTCTTACACGTTTACACACAACACGACACGTCACATTAGACAGAAACATCCGACGTACGGCGCATCGACTATTCATTTACATTACACACGTGTAACAAGCACACGCTGGTATAACGCGCGCGTGCCACGTACAATTATTATCGAGAACATTTATACTACTAGTACACGTAGCGACCGTATTAAGCCCGCACCAATCACAAACAGTGTTACAATGTAATTATACCTGCGAAGCTGCTGCCCCACCAATCACAGACAGTGTTACAATGTGATCACACCTGCGAAGCTGCTGCATCAGCGGCCGAACTTACGATGCATTTATAACAATTTTTTTAAAATCCAACTGCTACTAGGTTACTCTAGGTGAAAGTGTGAAGAAATCCAACTAACTAACACAAACATTAAACTCCGGTTAATAATCTCCCACTAAACTACTTCACATTTACAAATGTGAGAACAAAATGGTCGCACCATTTCGTCGTCGTCCTTCCGGCAAACAATTGCACGCCTCCTGTTGGCGAATTGTTGCGGGATTTGTCGCCACATCATCGCTTCCTCTAGTGCAATGCAGTGTTTCGGATCTTTATAGTTAATTATGAGTCATTAACGTTTAGTCGTTAACATTAGTCGTCGTTGCTTATCGTTAACGATTAGTATTAACGTTTACGTCGTTAGCGTCTAGTTGTTGCGGATCCCCAGCGATTGTTCGAGCTCCGCGCGGCGTTGCTTAATCGTTAACGATAGTATTAACGGTTTAACGTCGTTAGGGTCTAGTTGTTGGCGGATCCGCCAGCGTATTGTTTCGAGCTCATGCGCGGCGTTGCTTACTGCGTTAGGCATTTGTAATTTATGTTTAATATCGGTTATGTGTCTAGTTGTTGCGGATGCCGCTAGCGATTGTTCCGAGCTCTGCCGCTTGCTTAGGTCGTTAGCGATTTGTAATTCAACAGTTTATATGGTTAGTGGTCTAGTTTGTTGCGGATCCCAGTGATTGTTCGACGGCTCCGCTTCGTTGTTTGCTTAATGCGTTAACCGATTTGGTAATTAAACGTTTATATGGCGTTAGCGTCTAGTTGTTGCGGATCCCCAGCGATTGTTCGAGCTCCGCGCGGCGTTGCTGCACTTGCCGTAGAGTATCTACAGACGGCCTCCTGAGCCCAGCTCTGCGTGTAATAATCCGCTCGCCTCTCCTCCTCCGGCGCTCCCACCACGTCGTCATCGTCTGAAACAGCGGACGCCGTCACGACGCGACCCGACGACCGTTACCGGGGGGAACCGATGTGCTTGGAGGTTTTTTTACCGGCCGTAACCGGAGGCGACCGGCATTATTACAAAGCCCCTAACCGAAAAAACTACTTTACACCTGTTAACGACCCCCAGGTAGACGTACGCCTTCAGCACCTGTTTTAACGACGCCGCCGCAGGTAGAAGTGCTTCACCACGCTGTTAAGCGACAGCCCCCAGTAGACGTGCCTTCACACCTGTACGATAGCCAGGTAAAGACGTACCTTACACCTGTTAACCGACCCCCCAGGTAAGACGTACCGTTCACAACGCTGTTACTGACCGCGCAGGTAAGACGTACGCTTCACACCTGTTAAAGCCCCCAGGTCAGACGTACGCTTCACACCTGTTAACGACCCAGGTAAGACGTACCTTCACACCTGTTAACGACCCCCAGGTAAGTACGTACCTTTCAGGCACTTGTTAACGACCGAGGTAAGAAGTACCTTCACACTGTTAACGACGGTCGCCAGGTAAGAACGGTACCTTCACACGCTGTTAACGAGCCCAGGTAAGAGCGTAACTTCACACCTGTTAACGATCGCCAAGGTAGACGTACCTTCACAACCTGTTAAGCTGACCCGGTCCAGGTAAAGACGTACCTTCACATCTGTTAAGCGACCCCCAGGTACAGAAAGTACTCCACCTGTTAACGACCCCCAGGTAAGACGTACCTTCACACCTGTTAACGACCCCCAGGTAAGACGTACCTTCACACCTGTTAACGACCCCCGGTAAGACGTACGATTCACACCTGTTACGACGGCCCGGGTAAGATTACTTGCACACTGGTTACGATCCCCAGGTAAAACGTACCTTCACACAGCTGTTAACGACCCAGGTAGACGTACGCTTCACACTGTTAAGACCCCAGGTAAGACATACGAGTCAGCACGCTGTTAACAACCCCCGGTAAGACGGTACTTCAGCACCTGTTAGAGCTCCTAGGGTAGAGTACTTCACACGCTGTTAACCACCCCTCAGGGTAAGACGTACGCTTCACGAGCAGGCTGTTAACTAACCCCCAGGTAAGATTCGGCATCCGTCACACCTGTTAACAACCCACAGGTAAGACGTACGCTTCACCCCATGTTAACACCCCCAGGTAACGACGTACCGTTCACTGACTGTTAACGACCCCAGGTAAGACGTACCTTCAGCACTGTTAACGACCCCCAGGTAAGACGTACCTTCACACCTGTTAACGACCCCCCAGGTAAGACGTACCTTCACACCTGTTAACGACCCCCAGGTAAGAACGTACCTTCAGCACGCTGTTTACAACCCCCAGGTAGGAGACGTACTTCACGACTGTTAACAGACCCAGGTAAGACGTACCTCACACGCTGTTAACGCGCGCAGGTAAGACGTAACTTCACAGCTGTTAAACTGACCCCCAGGGGGGGAGACGTACGTTCCCCTGTTAACGACCGGCAGGTAAGCCGTACGGCTTTCACACCTTTAACGACCCGGTAAGACGTACCTTCAGGTCGCGTGACTGTGAGACGAGCCACTTGTTGATGAATTCGACGGGGTCTCGTGAGAAGCTGAGCATGAACTCGCGATTAGTCTTCAGACTGTTGATCGTCTCCACCGTCTCATGAATCTTGTTGTCTAGACCTTGAATCTCCTGCTGACTCGTAGTACTCAGCAAGAACTGATTCATCTGTGTCTTCAACGGGTCGTCAATCTACCGAGACATCGAGAGACGTAGTGAGAGAGAGGAGGAGGAGGAGGAGGAGGGAGGAGGAGGGGAGGAGGAAGGAGGAGGAGGAGAGGGGAGGAGGAGGAGAAGGAGGAGGAGGAGGCGGAAGAGGAGGAGGAGAGGGGCGGAGGAGGAGGGAGGAGGGAGGAGAGGGGGAGGAGGATGGGTCGGAGGAGAGGAGGAGGGCGAGGAGGCAGGAGGAGGGGATACCATAATTTCAGTAAGAGACTGGTTTATCTGACTTCAACGGAACATCAATCTACAGAGACATCAAACACTGTATCCCCGAGATGCAGTGAGAGAGAGAGGAGGATAACGAGAGGATGGGGAGAGGGAGGAGGGAAGGAGAATAATGGGAAGATTGGAGGAAGGCAGGTGTAATAATTGGCTACAACACATATCACCTCACTCACCTCAACGTCTATATCGTAGCATGAAGTCTTCTTCTGGTCAGGACCTTCGACGGTGATCGTGTGGTTGATGACTATCGGGTCCGGAGGATGCAGCAGCCGGTGCAGCTGCTGGGGAATCTCCGCAAACTTCATACGCTGACTCTCAAATATCTACAACACAAACAAACAAACACGTTACTTCATATGCTGAGTCATAAAGATCTATGCCAGAAAACAAACAAACAAACAAAGCAACAAACATGCAGGACTTTACCAGCTTGCTCTCAAGGATCTCTTCCGTAAACAAAACAAATAAATGCGTGTTATTTCACCAGCTGACTGCACAATTATCTGTCCCCTAAACAACAAACAAACAAACAACAGTAGCCGGCTGCTACCAGCGCTCACAGGCTGTTCCAGGTAACCTGCCACAACAAACGGGAGTACGTGCACGGGGGATAGGTGCAATTAAATTTTTTTTTTTTTAATATCATACTTGAGCCAATTTGTAACGCGGCCGAAACAGCAGAGAGTAGACGGTCAACTCGGCCGGTGCCGGTCCTAATTGAGAAGCAGCTGACGCTGCAGATAATCGTCATTCAATGTCTCACCTGTGCGAGGTAGCGGTCACAGTTGATGTACTCTCGCTCGTGAGCATCCTGCAGTGAGTGAGGTCTATCACGTACTGCCAGAGCGCGTTGATGATGACGGGCGCCGTCTGTGTGTGAACGCCCACAGAACGTGCGAGACGACGGCGGTCCAGCTTAAATCTGGCAGTCGGCTGCAATCAAACAATCAATCATCATCATAATATCAATCATCACCGTCATACATCATCATCATGCAATTGTAATGTCCTCACATCACCAACCATCAATAAAATTCGTCAATAATCAGCTGTAGCTGTCATCAACAATGATCAGTCATAGATCGTCAACATGGTCATGCTCATCCCTCACATGTCAACCATATCATCACGCGTCATCAACATCATGCATACGTCATCGTCAACATAATCATCTCGACAGCAATCATCGTTCACTAATCACCGACAACAACATCCAAGTCATCATCACTAACGACGCCTGCAACTTATGGAGTATGTGTGGAAGAGAGAAGTTCGATCACTATCAAGAATGCACAACTGTCCAAACAGGACACTTACAGCATTTCTCGCTTTTAAGTTAAGGTACGAGAGTATTTATAGAGCGACACACCACTACATGCACAGAGTACTAGGTTTAGCCTGTAGTCTAGCAGCAGCAGCCAAGGTAACAGCGTACGTTATCGGTCGCCGGGGCGTTTCAGAACCTGGAAGCCTGTCCAGGTCTCTGCCGCGTCGTAGCCTGTGCGATGCGCACTGTAAAGACCGCACGAATGAAAAAGGAAACAAGTCATTTTATTGCCACGATGACAATCGTGGAGTAAGTCGGCGTGCACATTTGCAGACGTGTATCTGTTGTTCGCGATAATACGTTCCCGTAGTAGCGGTCGAGGCGTATGCGTTCACTTCGTTCCCCTCGCACCAGATGGTTCTCCCGCGACCGTACAGTTCCTTGTCCAATTGTAGATCCAGCAGACTCTTGAAGAAAACTAGAGAATTTACAGCTTGCGGTAATTTGCTGTCCACACTTGTTGGTCCGCTGTTTGAAAACAAAAAACGTGACGATTATAAAAAATCCTTGCTGTATGTCGATACGTGCGTGCGTTCGGTATCAAGAATTTCGTACGCAATTTGCATCATTTTTACTCTCTTCATTGGACTTATGTAGATTATTTTACATCAATTTATATTTTTACTTTATATAATATTATTTAGCTATTATAACGATCATACTTTTATTTTCAGTTTCACATCACTAGCGGCAATTGCCGCGTAGGCACCTACACGGTACTGTATGACGGGTAAGACCTCGCGCCTAACTGCTTGCTCACACCTCATAACGATTAACGAGGCCAGCGAGGTTTTTCAAACAGTTTGTTCGTTTCACACGGTTCACGGATGATAAGAGCACACGATACATGTTATAAGAATTAGGGGTATACAGGCGCGTAGCAGCAGCAAGCTACAGGCAAGCAGCAGCAGCCACGACACACACGATACCATTGATTATATTAGGGGTAAACAGGCGGTTAGACAGCAGCAGCACCACACCGCCAAGTAGCAGCAGTAGCAACAGCATCAGCCGCAAGTAGGCAGCAGTAGCACAGGCATCACGGTCATGTAGCAGCAGTAGCATCACCGGCCAAGGTAGGCAGCAAGTAGACAGCATCACCGCCAAGTAAGCACAGTAGGCATCACGCGTCCAAGTAGTACAGCAGTAGCAAGCAGCATCATCGTCGATGTAGGCAGCAGATGAGCATCAGCATCACCGTCGATGTAGCAGCAGTAGCAGCACCGCCATATAGGCAGGCAGGCGAGCAGCAGCCACCACCCCGCCAAGTAGCAGTCAAGTAGCAGCAGCAGCAGCAGCTGCACATGTACATACTCACATCTTCCAGTAGCTTCCCTTCGACACGCAGCTCCCATGATGGAACGTTGTCGTCGTCCTGAAACACAAAGCCACCTGTTACCAGCGTTACGGTGTTATTACAGCAAAGCAACGCCGCTCAAGTGCCACGATCACCTGATTAGCGCAATGACACTTCAATAGAACGTACAGCCGTCCAGAAAGACAACGTCTGGCATTTACCTAGAATGACATTTACAGTTACAAAGTGAAACCACCTCTTTAAACTTGCCACCTGTCTACAGACCACACTTGGTATATCCGTTGAGTGGCAGTCACATTATAACCAACCCTCTTCAAAGCTGCATCGAGCGACCCTCGCATGCGTGGCGCCACCTACCTCCACGTCGGGTTTTGGCGGGTAGAACGTGTTCGAGATGAATATTCTGAGCTTGCGCTTGACCTTGATCGGACGCTTCAAGGCCTCCTGGATCTCTAGTCGCTTACGGACAATCGTAGCGTCGAGTTTACGTTCGAACGCGAGCAGGTCCATGTACGCCTGCGACTCGGGCACCAGATCGCGTACCTGTAGCAACGCAGACAACGATTAAACATAATAATGAATTAATTAAATGATAATAACAATTAATACGAGACGTTACGCATCTTTGCCACTAGGTGGAGCACTATACATTTTTCTGCACACTGCTTGTCTGCACGCTCTTATAGGAAAACGATGTTTTTATTGTAGAATGTCAGAAACACAGGGAACTCGCGAGGAATGTCTATCCTGTATTAATGTCTTATGTCTATCGTTTATAATAATAATAATAATAAGTGTGTGAGGCAGGTCGACCTTCTGTTTATAATAATAATAATAATAATAATAATAATTAATAATAATAATAATAATAAGTAATAATATTATAAAATAATAAAAAAATAAAAGAAATAAGTGAACTAAGTAATAATAATAATAATAATAATAATATAATAATAGATAATAATGAATCAGTGTGGTGAAGGCAGGTTCGTACGCTTCTGGGCGGTAAATATCTGTCGGCGCCATTTCTTTCTGCCTTCTTTCCGCTGGAACTGAACGTTTCAAACGTTACCGAATCACTTACAATGAAAAAACAGATTAATAACAAATATATTACAAAATTATAATTACCATGATTAGTTTAATTGATATTTTACATTATTGATCATATATTTTATATTAATAAGCATGCAGCGCGATCTAACCTTCTATTGTTGTTCGGTCCGGGTCTGCTATCAGAGGGCGCCGGTCGTTTCCTGTCCGATCCGGGAGCCGGCGGAGGCGGCATCCCAGGTCCGCTCCGCATTCCGGACGGTCCCGGTCCTCCCGGCGGGTAACCCTGGTAACCGGGAGGCTGACGTGAGGCCCCGCCGCTAGGTGGCGCCGGGTAGCCAGGTCTGGGTGAACCCTGAGGAAGAACGTGTGAATGTCGTTAGCTCATGGCGGGCGATGGTGTCAGACTCGCTACGGCTGGTCAGCGGAATGCGGTCTGTTCGTGCTAGTAGTACTAACGTTTTAAAATTAATGGGTTTCGAGCCAAAAAAAATTGTAGTTTTGTTGTTTGCGAAGAGGATTCCACATTTCATTATTTGTATCAAACTGACGAAATACACTTACGCACGCACACGCCAATATCATATGCTATTGTTATTGTCTGCTACACACTACATTGTCCAGTAGTGTAGCAGCGATCATATGACAATTTTCGCTGACACCACTGACAACAACAGGCTGAACCGCCAGGCCCAATGTGAATGAATGCCAGCAGTTAGAAGGAAGCAAGTTTCAACGTGCATTCACGGACGATACGCGTTAACGCGACGGCAGATGTCAACGTGAAAGCGCTTACCCCGTATCCTGGTTGTTGAAACGGTCTGACTTGACCTCCCGGAGGCGGCATTCTCTGAGAGGAAGGAGCGTTTGGTCCTGAACCCGGTGGAATAAAATTAGCAGGACGTGCCGCCATTTCCAGATTTTTATGTCAACGACGCGTCCCGGGAAAAACGGAAACCGAATTAGAAATATTATTTTGCGTTAATACGTTCCTTACTGAATTAATTTTACGAACTGATATTACTAATAGGTGTAATATGGTTTAATATATATTACCTAAGGCTTTAGTAGACGCCGATCTTTCGTAAATATGCTACCACTGAATTTCAAGGAAATGCTTCAGGATTTACATCAACCAACGACGCTTTGTCCGGCACATAGACGGACGCCGCGTCTCTTGATGATGTGCGGTACATAAGTAAAGATTTGCAGGTTACAGTCTATAGCTCGTCCAAAACTCTTGTTGTCCACTTGTTTTGACATGTCAGCGCCCATGCATATATTGCTTGCTTTTGCTATTAACTGCTACAATTAGCCTGTATGATATCCTATTATTATTCATAATTATTTAAGTGTGTGTACTTACGTTTATGTTTTCTATTTAGTCTTGGTTACCCGGTAAACGCATTAGAAGCACCAAACTAGAGAAATGCGAAATTATCAACCCAGTAAATAAACTTCATCTAAATTCTTGGCTCTAAGTCAAGATTATTCTAACTTAAACTTACTTAGTGAATTGTTGACTTGGGAAGAAATAATTTAATAATTAGATGCAATGCTGTTACTAACACAATCAATATCAACACTGAGCATTGGCTCCTCATATTTACCACACTTAAATTATGGCGCCACCTACTGACAACAAACATTAATAATGCCATAATGTGGTTATTATCCCGTTGTTGTAGCCTCTTGTAGCAGGACTGCTTATTTACTTAATCCTCATCTAACCCTAGATAAATCCCAACACTAAAAGGCAGCATAGAAATAGTCTGATAGGGAGAGAATGACGGAGGGAGAGAGAGAGAAAAAGGGAGCGACAGTGTCAGTGTGTGTGTGTTGTGTCGCGTGCGTAGCGTGCGTGCGATGTGTGGGCCAGAGAGAGAGAGGACACGAGAGAGAGACGAGAGAAGAGAGGAGAGAAGACAGAGAGAGAGAGAGGAGGAGACGAGACGAGCAGAGAGAGAGAAGAGAGAGAGAGAGAAGAGAGAGAGAGAGAGAGGAGACGGAGGAGAGAGAGGAGAGAGAGGAGAGAGAGAGACGAATGAGAGAGAGACGAGAGAGAGAGAGAAGAGAGAGAGAGAGAGAGAGAGAGAGAGAGAGAGAGAGAGAGAGAGGAGAGAGAGAGACGAAGAGAGAGACGAGAGAGAGACGAGAGAGAGAGAGAGAAGAGAGAGAGAGAGAGAGAGAGAGGAGAGAGACGAGAGAGAGAGAGAGAGAAGCGAGAGAGGAGAGAGAGAGAGAGAGCGAGAGAGAGTGCATGCGTGCATGGGTGGGTGCATGTGTGCATGTGTGTGTGTGAGAGAGAGAATGTGCGTGCGTGCGTGGCGGAGCAGTTTTGTGCTGTCTAGTGTTTAAGAAGAGAGAGAGAGCGTGCAAAGCAAAGGTGGATGGGAGTCAGTTGCTTCTATAATGAGAAGTAAGTTCAAATCCACCGCTTCATTTTTCAGCAAATCGCACTGCGGATTGTATGATACCGTAAATGCAAAGCCGAGATTCCTTTAGTGAAGTCGACATGGGATGAGCTTGATTGACAGGCGCTGCGTGTGAGGTTTGTATTATTATTAGTTGAGTTTTTGTAAATATATATATATATATTATATATGTATTATATATGTATGATGTAATTTGAATTGTAATTAGCTAATACACTATACTCTACTTATTACGATGTCAGAAAATCATATGGACTTTCCTCTCTGGTGTCGTCTTGAAAATTGTATGATTTTTCAAATTTTTATTTATTATTATTCATTCATATTATTATGCTAGTCCATATTCATGTGGTCTAGCACAAATTATGGTGAGAAATAAAATACATTTTGAATGTCTAATCTTGAGGTTGAGGTTGAGGTGTGAGCGGCGGCGGCGGCGGCGGCGGCGGAGCGGCGGCTGGCCGGCGGGCGGAGGTGGCGGCATTGATCCAAGACTGGGGACGGGCAAGTTCTTGCATCGTGAGACCGCGGGCCGATTCCCGTTGCGAGGGCTGACCGGTGACGCTCTGGAGATCGATGGCCATCGGACGCAGCGGCAAAGGTTATTTAATGTAGGGGTATTCACCGTAGGCCACGCATATTTAGGCAATATCTCTCTGCTCTCGGGCTCTCTGCACCTCGCCTCGTCGCTCTCGCTCTCTGCTCTCTCTGCCTCTCGCTCTCCTGCTCTCTTCGGCTCTCGCAGCATCTGCTCATCGGAGGCTCTCGC